GAGGAACCCTCTCTGGGTTCCTGGTGAGGAACCCGATCTGGGTTCCTCACGACGAGGAACCCAGAGTCGAGTTCCTCATGGGTTCCTCCGGAGGAACCCAGCTCGAATCTGGGGACAAGGAACCCAGATCGGGTTCCTCACAAGGAACCCAGCTCTGGGTTCCAGAAAAAAAATTTTTTTTTATTTGGTGGGGGGCGTGGGGGACAAGCGAAAACCGTGCAGTGGGTCCCACTACACACGTGGTGTCCACGTGTACAAAAAAGAAGCCACATCATAAAAAAACATATCCACGTCTGAAACTAACGAATAAAGAAACGCCGCATGTGCCATGTCAATTTCTGGGTGCCACGTAGTGCATTTTTTAACGGTACCGTGATGGTCTGTTAAAATATTAGGTTTTTCACGGATTTTGAAAAATGGAAGGTGTGAATAGGGAGAAAAAATTCTGAAAGGTGTTGACCGTGAAAAAAAAAGAAATAAATGGAGGGTGCAAATAGGGGCTTTGGCCCTTTTCAAATTTAAAAGGATCCACTTGAAGGGTACTCTTTTTTTTGGACCTCAGCTCAAAGGATTCCATCTCCTCTTCATGTTGTCTCTTACACAGATTAGGCAGGATATTTGAATACTGGTTGCTCCACCTTTGGGTATTATTTATTCTTTGGTAATTCCTTCATTTCTTGGCCTTTTAAAAAGCAATTGACAGTTTCCCAGTCTAGTGCAAAGGTTGGGTATCGTCCCATTACAAATGCAGGGGCAGAAGCTACTTGGGAGATGCAGTTGCTTTCTGAGTTATATGTTCAGGTTCCTGCTCTAAAAGTGATTTATTGCAATAGGGTTTTTCTAACTCATTTCTTTATGTGAAATTAACTTTTAGTAATTAATTTAATATAAAAATTAATCTTCATTTTTATACTAATGCTTCTTATATGATTTTAATTTAATAATTAATAAATTAAAAGTTATTTTTTATTTTTTAATATAAATCAATTCTTAAAAAATAAATTATACTCTTAATTTATACCTTAAAAACATAAATTAAAAAACTCATTGTAATAATATTAACTATTGCTTTATATATGTCTATAAATCTCATTAAACATCAGCTTATGTTCATCGAAATTGATCTTCATTTTGTCCCAGACAACGTGGCTTCTCGCCTGCTCTCTTTGACTTGACAAAAGCATTTCTAATTTCCACCTTTTGATCCTTCTGAAGCAATTTGCGCGTTTTTCGTCACTCCATGCAAATTGAGGGGAATGATAATGAAAACCATTAGAAGTTATTTGCACACAATTTTTTTATATAAAATTTTAATTATTTATATATTTATCATAAATAATTAAAAT